CGCGCCAGGGTGCAGGGGAGGGCAGACCTGCACGTGGGAGGTCTCGCTCCAGGTGCGTGCAAGGGTGAGAACCCGAGCCCCGAGGTAACTGCGTGCATTTGCCACCCGACTCTCTCTGGGCGGCGTGGGTGGGTGCACAGCGGCCCTAGTCCCGGGCAGCCTGACAAGGACCCCTAAGGAGGACATCTGGGGTTCTACCTGAGAGGAAAAAGCACTCGTTTTTATCCAGAAGGGTGTCATCTTCCCACAGTTGGGGGGATCGTAGGGGAGAAGGCAAGGGGGAGGGATGGGGTACAGAACAGAACAGGTGTCCAGGCTCTGCCTAAGGCCTTGTGCGCGGATACCGCCGTTTCTTTCTGGCCTGACTGGTCTTATTCACAGGCGCTTGCATTGTGAGGGTTACCTGAGAGATAACTTACTCATTGAGGGTGCCCTGTTAGCACAGGTGGTGTGTGTGTGTGTGTGTGTGTCTGTGTCTGTGTGTCTGTGTGAGTCTCTGTGCCTGCAAGTGTTTGTGTATGTATTTCTGTGTATCAGGGAACTGCCATTAAATCCAAATCGCCCCCTTTCCCCAGTGAGAAGCGAAGTTGGGGGCTGGGGGGAGACGAAGATGGAAGAGGGGTTGTCTGTAAAAGTTAGCCTGCAGGTCTGGAATGTTAACATTTCATGCTGTCCTCAAAAGTTATTTGCCACTTCTGGGGGTGCAACTACCGTGCCAGCTCAGCTCACCATAGTTTAGGGGAGAAGAGTGAGAGTAGAGTTTGGTAAGAAGGTCAAGAATGGAGAGTACTCTTGGAAGTGTGAGGATGGTTGGACTGATTGTCACTAGGATTAAACATCATCGTGTGTGTGTGTGTGTGTGTGTGTGTGTGTGTGTGTGTGTGTTGGGGGGGATGGAGGAGTGAGGGAGTAGGTGTACATAGGGGGGTTCTGATTTAGCTTTGTTCTCCATATGTCAGAGTCAGCAAGTGAGGAAAAGAATAAACTGGTAGGCCAAAGGGCTTTAAACTAGGAAAGGGAGAGGGCAGGGGGAGGAAGGGGGAAATCGGAGTGGCCAGAAAATTGCAAAGGTCAGTGATGCAATCTTGCAACAGCCTGTCACAATCATTCAAACTAAGCCCCGCAGGGAGGGATAGGAGGAAGAGCTGTTTCTGGGATCAAAAATTTGAGTCTCTGAAAAATTTAACAGTAATCTTTCTTTGGTGGGGGGTGGGGGGTTGGGGAGGGATAAGGCAGTTTCCCAGACAATTTAGTTAAAAATGGTAACAATAACTACTTCTTGCCTGGGCTATTCATAGTTCAGGATTGGTTTGTGCAGACTGGTCAAGGTTACCTAAATGGCTAATTTAACATTATACATTTTTGTCTGTACACAGTGGTCAAGGTGACAGTGGTCCTAATTGGGATTATTTCTGGGAAGATTGTATCCCCTGCTTATTATCTTTTAAAACTTGTCAGGCAGGAAAATTCTAGAACAAGGAGAGATGGATATCATTCTTGGCATTTTCTTTGAATCTCTAATAACTGGCAGAAATGATCTGTAGGCTTTCCCAAGATCTATGAGTGTCACAAACATGGTGGCTTTTGGGCGAACGTGTTACGTGCATCTTAATATCAGGGCCTTTACCTGGTTTCTGCTCTGAAGGTGAGTCAGCCCAACGATGAACCCAAAACTCCGAAATTAACATGTCAGTATTTCCGGTGTTTCTGTAACTCGAAGGACGCAAACCACATGTCCTTCAAGGTCAGCAGACTGTAATATATCTGAGGTTCCCCTTTCTTGTGATTTCTGGTGGCAGGGCACATCATCACCTTACATGAGTTCTTTTCCTCTTTGATAATCTGACTTCAACCCCCAGACCTCACCAGCTTGCTGGCCAGAGCTGGGCAGAGAGGGCGGCATGTGCCATGCTTTGGGGTTGCCTGTGGAGTTGCTGTTCTGGTTTAGGTGTTAGCTGGGGCTGAGAGAGAGATGAAGGGAACAGAAGGCCGAGGAATCTAGCTAGGAATTGCTGACACAGCTCCTCTGTCTGGGTGGGGAAAGAGAACCCAGCCTCTAGGGTCAGGGATTAGATAGGGCTTGGGGAACTAAGCCCATGCATTAAAGCACTGATGTCACTTTAGAGGCGGAAAGTCTTGTGTTGCAACACACAGGTCAGCCACAGGTTATTGCTGTGACGGTCGGAGCAGCCTTACTGACCAACGGTCCCTCTTTGCCCAGGACTGAGGGGTTCCCCCAAGATGCATGACTTACAGTGCTGAAATTGGGGCGGCCCCGGGCTGTCAGGAACAGCTGGTCACCCTACCCTTGAGTCTACCCCAATATTTAATTCTTGACATTTCTAGGAAGACAAAGAAGGCTAGTTTAAAATTTATTTTGCTTTCCAAGTCCCTTTCTTCCAAACAGTAAGGTACGCAGAGCCACCTGCAGAGAAATCAATAAAAAGGGGTGACGTGTAGTCCAAGGGGGAAGTAGGGAAGAGGAGAGAGCTGTCCCTACAACTGCGCCTTGGAGACTGAAGGAGCAGGGGACAGAGGTCTTTTGGGTGGTTGGTTACGTATGAACCTCAATCATTAGTAGCATTATTTTGTTATCCCATCATCCCATCACCCAATGCCCTGCTTTATTCTTCTCAGCAGCCCTTAGTACTGACTTTATATAGATACGATTATTGGTTTGCTTTCTGTGTTGTCTTCCACATCCTTTGGAAAATGAGCTTCATAAAGACCAGGACTTTCTTTATTTCTTCCCTGGCTCTCCAGGGCCTAGTATATTTCTTGGTACAAAGTAGATCCTTAATAGGTAACTATGGGATTAATGAATGTCATTCCCACTCGCCTGTGAAGCCTGGTGTGTGGGAAACCATGTTTTCTAAGTTTGCATGCAGTAAGGTTTTTAGCGGATTCAGCCTTTTTTTGGGGGGCGGGGGTTTGCTGTTAGTCCTCTTCTCGCAAATCCATCTCAAATACGACCACCGAATAAATCTTCCTAAATTACATTTTATTCTTCATTGCCTGTGTAAAGCCTGGGGTGATTTCTCACCCACATGATGAATTTCTGGATTCTGCATATGGAATTTCTTGGAATCCAGGACTTCTATGATCTGATCTTCTCTACTCATCTAACTTTCTCTCCTGCTCATCTCCAACAAGAACCCTTAGCTCCACAGGTGGGTTTGTCACAGGCAAAGAAGTAACTCGTTTGCATTGTTGCTGCCTCAGCTTGGCTTATACTCTTCTTCCTCCCTGGAATGCTGTTCCCTTTCTATTCTGTCTTCCCTCCTTCAATTCATGTGCTCCAAGAAGCCACCACCGCCTGTGCCAACACACCCTGACCACTCCTTTCTGTGAACTGCAACTGCCTTTGTGTCTTGTACTGCACAGGTTGGCACTTGCGTTGTGGACTGTGCCATGTAGTTCTCCATTGTTTCCTGTGGGCTTGCCCTGGATCTGTGCAAGAACTTTGTACCCTTCATGGTGCTAGCATATAATAGGGGCCCAATCAATGCTAGTTTCACAGACCTGGAAGTCAGTGCTAGGACAGAGACTGCAAAATGATCAGTGAAGACTCTCTTGGGAAGTTATTTTGGGCACATTGGCTTGTCCTTAGGGTTATAATTACCCAAGCCCTGGCAACTTGGCTTAGTTCCCTCCACTCTGGGTTCCTCACCTTTCACTTGCACTCCCAGCTTAGTGTCTGACGTGGCAGCGATTGGCTCACTCTCGGGCACCCCTCCAACCTGCTCCTAGGACACCAGGGCCTTGTTAAATCAACTCTGAGGAACAGACCCTTCATAGACATTTTGCTTTTGTCCCTCATGACTTCTGGTCACGCAGAGCCACCAGCTGCCAGTGCACGCAGATGTGCTGGGAGCCGTGGGTAGCCATGGGCACCCTGCTGCCCACATACCACATCTGAATTGCAGTGCTATACTTTACAGATTGCAACCAGCACAAGGGACTTCCCCCAAGCTCCAGTATTAGCTGGACTTGAGAGTACAGGGATCTGGAGCCAAATAGACTTGGTTTCGTTTAAGTCTTGGCTCCTCTTCCCAGGGTCTGACCTTGGAAAAGTGGCTTCACTTCTCTAGCCTCCATTTTCCTATCTGTAAAGTGAGAGTGATGGTAGCCCCTATAAGATGGGGTGTGGTGAGGCTCGAGTGAGGTAGACCACTATAAAGGGCTTAGTGGTCTGGCACCAATGAAGCAATCAATACGTTATTGATTCAGTTATTATTCTTTTATTATTTGGTTGTCTTTACCTCCTGCCAGTTCCCATGGTCCTTTAAGGTCCGAAAACCTTTGTTGAAGCTAGCTATGTATTCAATACTGTGTTAAGTATAGTCATAAAAGCAGAATACAAAATTGTCTTTGCCCCAAAGTAGCTCATATTCCAGTTGAGGACATAGACATTAGATAAGTTGTTGCATTATGCCAGGATAAGCACAATAATGGAAATATATACCAGGTACACAAAGAATAGAGTGAGAAATACATTGATTCAATTCAGGAAGGAGGTAATCAAAGAAGACCCAAGAGTGGATGATGACTGAGCAGCTAAGGTATTAAAGGATGTATAGTGTTCACCAGGGAACTCTAGGGTAGAGTGGGGGCCAGGGTTGGGAGGTTGGAATGAGAAAGGACTGCATATGAAAATGGGAGGATGCAGGAGAAAGCATTGCATGGTCCAGGAGAAGTGAAGCAAGATTGGTGTTAGAGCATAAAGGATGGGTTTCGGGAAATGGGGGAAACGAAGC